CAACCTGACCCTATGTCAGCTAACATTGCCCGTTGTCGAGGAAGGAGATAGCTAGGCATGCGTAACACATGTCCTAACCATCTCAATCGGTGTAACTGCTTCACAACCTCGTCCATTGATTTTCCCTCCTCCTTACCTAGTACTCTACAGTCGTCTAACCTCAATATTGCTCACTCTATTGTACCACTTCACATGGGAGATAGACCGCAGGCACCTATGATCAAAGACAGCTAGTCAGGCGTTTCATGTCTTCCCCTCTCAGTGGCCATGTCTCACAACTAGGCATAAAGTAGGACGTGGAGAACTTCTGAGCAGTTAGCAGCCACCCGGATATCACGTCTACGCCAGATACGGCTTAGACTGGCATATGCGAAACTAGCTTTCTGCATCCGTGCTGAGATTTCGTCGGCGATCAAGCCGTTGGGGCTGATGCAGCTTCCTAAATAAGTGAAGTGGTCAGCACGCCCCACCAACCACTTCACTCCCTATTTCTAAGCTAGGAGTCAATGTAGTCCAGTCCTGTAGCATCACCTTACATTTGACAGCAGCACGAGCGAATCACATGCCGGAAATTCGTAGAGTGCAGCTGCTCAAGGTGTTCAAAAGACTCTGCTTGGTTTTGTCAACATCTTCACCTAGCAGTCAGGAATATATCATCTGCATATTACAAGTCAACGAGATTATTCCCTGGTAACAAGTCATTCGTTGAGTGACTGAAGTCAGTTAGGTTTAAGTCCATTGGTGCATCTATGGTGAAATTAAACAGAAATGCGGATAGTGGGCATCTCTGATGGACACCACTAGTCGTCACCACTTCAAATGAGAACTCTCCGTAAGCCCTCACCCGGCTAACTGAGTTCGAGTAGAGTGAGTGCCTTGATCAGTGCAATGTATTTTCTCGGCATTCTCTTTACAGCCAAGCATCGCTAGAGAACCTCTCGGTTGACAGAATCGAATGGCGCCTTTAGTTCAAGAAATATAATGATTGTTGGACGCCGCCAGTAAGAATGCCTATGTTCCAGAATGTGTCGAAGGGTGAAGATATGATAAATATACCCTCTTCTTGGTCTAAACCCACCCTGGTTCTCTCGTGTTTGTGCCTCTCGAGCACCACTTAGTAGTGTACGCATTATTATTGAGCCTTGAGCTTTAGATACCACCATTTTAGTCAAGCTAATCCCCTTGTGATTATCACAGGAAGACTTGTCTCCCTTCCTGTATATCTGGATAATCAATGACTTATACCAACGCAACGAGACTTCCTCTGATTCCCAGATGCTGCCTAGTACCTTAGTTAACACAGACAGTAAACTGCACACCGTACTTAAATACTTCTGAAGTCATTCCATTAGGTTCCGCAGCTTTGCTTTGTTTCACACTATTGACAGCTTTAGTAACCTCAGTTAGGCACGTACGACCTGTGTCTATATCCCATTCAGAGAGGTGTTGGGTGTTCGGTAAGAGAGTTGAGAGTGGCTGTAGGCCAAAGAAACTGCTCCTCAAAGTGTTCGCATGTAGTTCTACTCAGAGGTCATGATTAGTGAAGTCCACTGGATTCCATTTCAATGGCTGAATTGTCTCAGTGAGATAGCCCGCTAACCTGAAGATGCTGGGTTTAACTCTCGGTGGGATCATGGGTGTGTATTGCTCCAAGGAGTCCCAAACTAGAACGAAACACTTGTCCAGCACTCCCTGGATTTCAGTGTGGTTTTCTAAAAGAAGCCAGTTCGTGATCCAAGTTGAAATCAATCACACCTCTATAGACCAACACATGGAAAACATATGAATCACGACTTAAAGTATCTGAAGAAACCAACGAAATACAAAATTAACAGTTATAACACAGTTTAAATGATGTTCACACTTATGAAAAAATAAATAAACAAATAAAAACAAAAAATTGAGAGGATTATAAATACAAGAAGTGCAATAACAATAAAGTTTGATGTTGTAAGGGTGCAGGAAATGGTTTATTTAGTAGTGCAAAGAAGGTTAGTTAGTTAGTTCATGTCTAACACTATTTTCATCACACAAAGTACATGCTGTCAAATATGGTATAGTTGAATTTTTGTACTTAGACGTACGTGCATAAAGTCTTCTGAAAAGAGTTCTTGTTTTACCTGAGGAGGAGACACAAAGTTGGAGCTGCGGGTAACTAAAGTGGATGCTCACAGTCTGACAAAATTCCTTTAGCAAATTTGTTGCATGACATCAAGTACCTATCAGTAACAATGTCAACGATATGGCCCAATGGGAAACCACTCGTCCTACTGACTGACAGTCTTCAGAGTTCTACGAAGTATGACATAGTCTTTTTTAAGCAATACAGGAGAGAATAAGCAGAGGTGAACAGTAAAGAAAAATAGGTAAAATACACGAGTTGACGAACTGTAGGAGAAGTGGTTGGGTTATGCCTGAGTGCCTCAACTTCTTAATGTAAAACGTCAGATGAAATATTCTTCTATAAATCGCTAAGACATGGGAGAACCAGGATAGATCAGAAGAAAGAATTAATCCAAGATACTTAACTTCAGACTTGATTTCTATATCAGCCATCAGCTTCATTTAACCTACATTTACATCGGAAACTGAAATTAACAGTCTGACATTTTTGGAAGGATTTAGTTTAAGGCCATTTGACGAAGACCATTTGCTAATTCCTGATAGAAAACTGTTCATCTAAGTACAGTCTAGCTGGCAGTTAACAGCCATTGAAACTGTTAAATCATCAGCGTACTTCACAAAGTTTATTTCATCAGAGTTAGGCAAGTCATGCAAGAAGAAAGAAAAGCGAAAAGGAGAAAGGACAGTGCCTTGAGCTACACTAGCCTCAGTAAGCAATGAAGTGAACGACTTCCCCTGACTGACATACAGTGTACTGCCTTCTTCCTGAGAAATAAGAATGGAGCCACTTGACAACCCAACAGTCAGTTTGAGTTTCAGCAAGCTTGTTTAACAAAATGTTGTCCCTAGGTACTGAGTCGAAAGCAGATGTGTAATCTAAATAATGAATGCTTAAAATATTCAAATTTTCGAGAAAGATAAGCATACTGTGTAAATAAAGCGGTGTTATTGGAAAATGTCTGTCGATGAGGTTGTGAAGATACCTAGACTGTGATGATTAGGACACGTATATGCATGTTAAGCTATCGCCACCCTTGTTGAGCAAAGTCAGCTGACATAGGAACGGGATGTAAACGAGACAAAGGGGGGAGTCATATCAAAACACGTCACTAGTCCATAAGATTTTTTTAACAGTTTGTTCCAATCATTTAGGGAGGTGTAGACTGCCTGCATGACAGGACTACTTGAGACGTTTACAAACTGCTGTATTTGCGTACAAATTTCTACGTTGTAAATGCGATTCAGTTCAGAATCGGTCTGGAGATATGTGACGCAGTCTTTAGGGTTTGTTTTTTTCTCTTAATGTTTTCTTTGTTTTCTCCTATTTGTCGTCACTGGGGTAGTAGAATTTTCCCGATATCCGGCTGGACGGGTGTTGAATCATTCCGATTACACGTATTTGCAGTTCATTCCATAAATAAAGCATCCTGTTACATTAGATGATAACAACACCAACAATAAGGAATCTAAATCATCAGTAGTAATTCCATACCTCGGAAACCACCTTACAGCAGAGAATTCTTAACAAGGCAGGCAGGAATAAAAGTGGCTGCTGGCATTCAAATCAACCACAAACTCAATTAGAAACAAGCTTTGTCGGTTAAAGGATCAATCCTGTGGAGCCTTTAAAACAAAACAATTTAGTTTATCGAATACCCTGCTACTGCAATGATTGTCAGGTGAAATACACAGGTCAAAGTAGTAGAACAGGGTCAGTCAGTCAGTCAGTCAGACTAGCCGAGCACCATAAAAACCTATCAGCAAAATCTAGATTGGTTGACCCGAATAAAATAAGAAATCTAGAGAATAGTTCAGCAGCTATCGCAAGCACTACATGCAATTACACACACCTAAAATACAATAAGCTGGATGGGATAAGATGACAGTTTTAAAATCGAATACAACTAACAGGGTGTCGAGTGGGGAAGATTGACAGTGGAAGATTTGTTTATCTAATCAACTGAAAACACTTGTGATAGGAATGGTTCAACACCTGTCCAGCTGGACATCTGGAAAATTCTACTACCCCAATGACGACGACAAATAGGAGAGAACAAAGAAAACTATCAGACTGAAGTTTCAAAGTCGTGTGATTATAATTGGTGAGGTGTATGATTATGAACAGCAATAATAATGATGAATTGTGTTCGAAACAACTTTGTCATCCAGTAAATACTAATCCTGTTTCACTCACTGACTGTATGGCACACCTTATAAACAAACTAATATGGAATTGTTCTTGAAACGTCATTGCTAAAATAACAAAGACATCACATCTAAGAAAAATATTCAGTTTATTAAGAGTATCTAACGTAGATGAAACGAAAACTTCAAATGAAGCCTGACTGCAATCAGTATTCTCTGAACAGCATATTTCATAATTGTACACTGGTGGTATTGCGTACAAGGGAAAAAGCCAAACAGTCAAGTATTAGATGCATTCAGAGAAACACGGTTGTAGGTATTTAATAATTATGGTAAGGTGTACCTTGGTTTTGTGGACAGCTGTTTCGTCCTAGTTTGAGACTCTTCAGCAATACACATTCACCGCCGATGTTTGGACCCAAGGTTACAAGGTGAGCTAGCTCGTAGACCATTGAGCAACCACTAAGACTTGATCCAATGGCCGGTGCATGAATTCAAACTTCTGCCTTTTTTACGATATAGGGCAACCGCTGGTCAATGTCTTCGGCGAGTATTTGTCCTCACACCTGACCTGCTGGCTAGTGGTTGTGCTATGTTGTGAATTGGCAGAAGTAAGAATTCATGGGCCATTGGATATATATATATATCATATCACTTGTATAAACGCGGGAACAGAATGCAATGACTTCAATGTTTAAGCCCCCTTAACAATCAATAAAACACTCACTTACCATATTTGTTTGAATAGTAATCAATGGTTGTTGATGTTCTGAATGCCATAATTTTATTGTCATATCAGCGGAACAAGACAGAAACACATCGGGTATGAATGGAGACCATTCAATTTGATAAACGGATGCCTAAAAAGAAAATACGTATACATAAATAAATAAATAAATAAATGTTTTTAAGTATGGAGTAGAGTAGTTAAGCAAATTTTTGTTTATTTTCGAATAGAAATGAAAGAGAAAACAACTTGCGAATGAAGTGATGCCATTGACTTCAACATCTCTGTTCATTATAATTTGACAATTTAATTTTGATACAGCGAAAATATTCATTCAGACATCTATCTATAAAACACAAAAATGATTGAGCCAGCAAAGAATATCCTTCTCGATAAATTCCTCCTCCTCTGGCTCTACAACTATATCTATATATGCATGTTTATATACATAGAATATTCTAGATTAGTAGTCAATAACAATATTAGTGTGTGCTTTTGAAATAATATTGATTTGTAAAGTAAGATCACAATGGAATCACCACAGTTCATTGAAGATGCTTAAATTACAATCATAATCATAAAGATATAGTAGCAAACAGAAAACAAACTAAAATGAGGGAAATTCCACAAAAATTCAGGATCGATCATTCAAACCTAGATCGCCAAACAAGTTACGATAATGTCTGAACCAACCAACTTCTTTTGGATACACAAATTTGGCTTGTTAATATGGATCCCAACACGACCAGTCAGCCAGCCTCATCAATGTTTAGTAGTCGAACTGTTAAGGCGAAATTGAGATTTGTTAGTTGGTATTAGGTGAATGACCCTGAAAACCGCCGCTTTGTTACCAACAATCATGTTTGGATGGGCATTTTCCGTGAGTTGTAAGAGCGGCTAAAGAAGCACACACATTTACAGACAAATAAAGCCGAGAAAAACTAAGTAAAATCAATAAAGGGAATTACACATGTACCTAGGGTCATGTATACAGTTAAATGAAGTAATTTATCATGGAAAACGCTAAGGGGGAGGGGGAGGGAAACTTGCATATCCAAAAGGATTGAAGTAGAAAATAGATAAAGACTACAGTATTGTATTGGATTTACGTCTTTCGACAGATAGTCAGTGCCGAAATGATGCCAACTGGCAAATGCCTAACTGACTATCCTATGAAATTCATTAGGAAGATCAGTCAGGGCCAAAAGCAAAATCGAAAAATAATTGTGCAACTAATAATAATAAAATAAATAAGAGAGAATATGTCATCCACAGTAGTTATACCATATAAGAAGGGGACAAATGAGACACTCCCTACGTAGGATTCTTAATAACAAAGCAGGAAGTACGGTGGCGGCATTCAAACCTAAAAACTCACTCAGGTAGGACAAGCTCTGTAGGCTAAAAGACCCTGACGGTTGACCCAATTAGACAAAATAATATAATTTACAAAATACCTTGCAACAACTGTGAGTTAGTTCAACTACATAGGTCAAACTAGTAGGTCATGGGTAGTCAGATTGTTGGAACATAAGAATTCAGTGGCTAAGGGAAGAATGATTGACCCCACCCGAGAAGATGAGTAATTTAGAAAAAAGTTCAGCACTACACTGCACTGCGTGTATTAACACATAACCACACAATGGCATGGTGGGAGAGGGTTAAAATTCTAAAAAGTAATCTAGGTAGGTGGAGATAGAGAGAGGTTGATTACTGAATCCTCGTTCACCAAACCCACACCCAACACATACAACAGAAATGACTCACGGAATATACACATTTGATCATAGGGAATAAAAGGACAGTTGCAGCGAAGAAAATTTTCTTTTCGACGAAGTCATCATCTAGGCTGTACATTCGTGTATTTATATCAAATGTATGGGAAAGTTCCAGAACAATTTCTGGTTAGGGGTTGAATTAATAAAAATTACAATTAGGAATTAGAATGCCATAATAAACAGGGGGATGGGTAAAACTAAAACAAAGTAGCATAATAACTAAGAAAATTGACATTGTGCAATTGAAATGGAGGTGGATTGGATTGTGGCCATACTCTGAGAAAATAAACCATCAAGTGAGTGACATCACTAGACAAGCCATTGCTCGAGTGGAACCCGACTGAATGGGAAGCGGCGAGTTGATAGTCTAAGGGTGAGGGTAAGAGTGACTTGGAGGAGGAGGTGATGTGAAGAGGAGATGAAATCATGTGGGCAGAGTTGGAGTCAGGTGAAAACGTTAGCAGAGAACCGAATGCAATGCAGACGTTTGGCTGAAGCCCTATGTTCCTCTAGGAATAAAAGGAAATAGTAATAATAATAATAATGGTAAGTTATTTGAGTATCTTACAGAATTTTTATGCAGAAGGAAGAAATTCTTTACGGAAGAGATTTATACAACGCAGTAATAGCGTGAACATTTACCAACTACACACAACAAAACACATTCAATTCAGCCTAGAAAGGTGAATTATTACATCAAATGCATCGATACAAACATCAAGTCAGTCAGTTCTTCTATACGGATCAGAAACTTGGCGGGTCACAAAGAATATTTCCAACAGCCTGTTGCAGACATTTATCAACAACTGTCTTCGCTCTATACTGAAGATCAGATGGCCGGAAAGAATCACAAACAAGAAGCTACGGGAACAAACAAACAAAACAAGAACCAATCGTTCAACAAATATGCAGGAGAACGAAGTGGAGATGGACTGGACACTCGCTGAGGAGGCCATTGGGTGACATCGTGCGTCAGGCCATCGCTCGAGTGGAACCCGAAAGGGAAGCGGCGATTAGTGGGACGTCCAATGGTGACATGGAGGAGATTGTGTGAACAAGAGTTTAAACAGTGTGGACTAACATGGATGCAAGTGAAAAGTACAGCAGAAGACAGAAGCAAGTGGAGACGTGCAGTTGAAGCCCTATGTTCCACTAGGAACTCAAGGGAACAATAATAATAATAATTCATCTTAACAGTAGAGTAGAAAGAATCAACCCTGATGGTATGATGGCATCCATATCTGCGTATTGACCAACAGTAGCTCAATTTATCAATCTCATTTCTCCGTATGGTGGTAAAGGTATATACATGAATCAAAACATGTTATGTGGGGTGGTAAATCTACTCTGTCCTTCTTTACAACTATAAAATCTTTGGTGTTATGGACGAACATGTTCAAAAAAGTGATGAAGACTTTTTCAAATTTCCTTCAAATAAGCACTAATTCAAGGTAGAGTTTAACTGGTCGATGGTGACTAGAGGTAGTGGAATTCAGGCAGGATAACGCGCATTTCGTCCTGTTTTGGGACTCGTCAGTTGGTCAGCCAGTGATCATGTTCCCACCATGGAGGCTCGAACCCACTGGTCAAAGTTTCAAACACCAGCCAAAGCGTTATCCACTAGACCACTTGGGCCATGAGAGCCACCCCACTTCTTGTGCAACGGGTAATATTAATTATTTAATTGAATTGAGTTTTAGATTTTCCCGTCCATTGATTGATTGGACCGACCGAAGTGCTTCTCGGTCTCAGGTTGACATGTCTGTTGGCCGGGTTCTTGCGCCGATGCTTCGACAATGTCTGGGCATGTAAATAGAGGTTAATTGGTGGATGGTGACCAGCAGTGGAATCCAGTTCAGGATAACGCGCATTTCGTCCTATTTGGGACTAATTCAAAGTGTTCAATGTACAGTGGTGAATCGTTGAACAACGCCTGCAATAGATTATTCATATGTGAACCCTATTTGATGATGATAAGCCTTGAAGGTGATAAAATGACTTTGAATCACTGGAAAATCCACCTGGGAGTGCTGGACATTACTGGACAGCAGTTTTGTCAGCCTAGTTTGGGACTCTTCAGCAGTACACATCAAGTCCACTGGGGTTCAAACCAAGGAACTTCTGGTTACAAGGCAAGAGAGCGAGCGAGCTCGTAGACCATTCATCAGCCACTGGGAGCCGATCCAATGGCCAGTCAGCCAGTGCATGAATTCTAACTTCTGCCAATTCACGGACGACATAGCACGACCATTTCGCAATGTCTTCTTCGATGAGTGAGTTACTGCCTCATCTTCAACCTGCTGTAACCCACTGGTCACGACTTCCCACTGGAATCCCAGGTTAACTGCCTACCTGAATAGGGCCAGTCGCTAGTGAGCATCAGATTAATTTTCAAGTATTGGTTTTGTAGAATTCATGGGCTGGCTGGCCATTGGATCGTGTCCCAATGGCTTAATGTTCTACGAGCTAGCTCGACTTGTAACCAGAAGCTCTTGGTTTCGAACCCCAGTGGGGTTGAATGCGTACTGCTGAAGAGTCCCAAACTAGGCTGACGAAACAGTTGGCCGTCCTGTTCTCCCTAGTCGGTTTTCCAGTGGTTCTCTAACTTATTTCAGCTCATGATGAAATCCTCCATGAAATGAAATTAACCAAAATGTTATGGGTTGATAATTCTATTACTTTCGAAAACTTATCAGTAGCAATGCAAATTTTTTTGAAATGTGATTTTAAAACGCATAAATTATTGAACGTTGTTATGTATGAATGTATGACTGTAATGTTTCATTTGATGATTTTTTTGTTGACATGACGGTATTCACAGGTGAATAAACAAATCATTTTTTTCTTTCTTCTACAATATCAATTCATCATTCAAACAAAACATTATTCATTAAAATAAGACTAAAATATCAATAAACACCAAAATGTATCCTTTGTTTCTGCCTATTTATTTACCCAGTGAATGTCCTGTGAATGGAATGTCATGTAGGTGATGGGTTTTGTCTGTCTGTTTACGACATAGAACTACTTTGCACCGATGTGCACCAGTTCAAGTCACCACACTCCCTCCACTCCATGTAGAACACAAAGCAAGAGAAGAAAGTAGAAGAAATGCATAATAGAGACAGTAAACAGAGGTGTTGAGACAAAGGAATAGTAATAACGAAGAATGAAATAGTTTCACTGGAAATCATAAGTCACAAGGAGTGGATGCAACTGCGCCAGCCAGCCAGCCGTTGAGAACGATCACTGTGAGCCATATCATCACCAATTGTCCCCAGCCATTGGTTTTTACCTTCCCGAGGACCTCAACGAAGAAGTCTACACCTTCCTACCTGGTTGGCTTAAACCAACC